GAGGAGCTAAACCTCTTTGATTGTTTACTGAGATCTGGCCCTGTGTAGTGTTGCCAGCAGAGATTCCAGACAGCAGTAATGCTCCTTTCTATCACCTGGGCCAGGGCCAAGTGGGTGAGTTAAAGAGGCAGTTTATTGCCCTCAGTTTATGGAGCAGAGGAAGAGAAATAAAATATCATTTGCAAGTCTTCTCTAGGGTAAAACTGGAACACAGGCCTTCCCTCACACTCAGAGAGATGAGAATGTGTTGGATTTCTTTTGGATTTTTTTGCTTGGCTCAGTCATTCTTTTGTGGAAGTGTTGCAAATCCTGTGATCAGAATGACTTGAAAGGAAAACTACCAAAATAAAGTGTTAAAGTCAGAAAAGAATGTTTACAGATAGGAAGGCATTCAGATGGATTTTTCTGTCTGTAGCTGTTAGAGTACAGAAAAACAGGCTTTAAAAAATAGCAAGTAAAATAAGCATTAAAAAAATTATTCTCTCTTTTGCTAATTGTTAACAGATTGTCAGCAAACTCGAGCGAGAACGGGGGTTTGAAGAAGTCCAGAAACAGCTTCAGCAAGTAAAAGCCTTATTTGATGAAAAGAAAAAATGCAAATGGCATTGAGCAGAGCACTGACTCACGGCATCACTGTGGGGGGATTTTAAATTAGCGCTACTGCTCCCAAAACTGTTTTGACTGACTATATGTACAGGGTTTGAAACATCTGGACACTCTTCTCCATTCTGACCATTCCAAGTAATCTACATTTGTGAATGAAGTATGGCAGGGTTACATATACACACAGGAGTACGTGAAATGTTGTCAGGGTCAGCATTTTTAGGTACTTGGACACACATAACCCTTTAATTCAAAAATACTGTCTAGTAGGCTTTTTGCTTACTTAAAAACAAGGTCATAGGAGATGTGCATAATACACTGTAAGTTCAGAGTTGCCCACGTGAACTTGCAAGTTACCTAGCTCTTTTTTTTAAGAGAAAAAGCTGATGTTTCGCCACATCCTTTCAGCAGCTTCGCAATCTGTGAAGGTGAGCTCTGGCTTCAGAATACGGGTCAGCTGCAGTTTCCTTCCTTCCAGTCAAATGTTCACTAGTTCCTGTTCAGAAAAAAAACCAAAAAGACAAACCATACATCAAAAAAACCCACCAAAACCTGGCACCAAAGTGGCACTTAGGGTAAGTGTGTTCAGCAGAAAAAGTGGATCTTTTTGAAGTTTGAAGGCCAAATGCCACAGTAAGGCAGGACTCACCTTCTTTAGGTTAGAAATTCCATGTCCAAAGTCAAGCCAACCCCTGAGGGGAAGAGATGAGGGAAGGCTTTTGAAGAAAAGCATTCAGCCACCATCAGTCTGTGTTTACATTTTTTACCTTTCCATCCTTAAATAAGCTGTGAAACACTTGTGAACACCTTCACAGGTGAAACTGCACTGCATCAGAACACTGTTGTGATTTGATGAAGCAGCTGATGATGGCTGCACTGTGGTGCACAAACCTGTACTCAGGTGCATGACTGGCGCATGCATCAGTGCTGATGGTCCTGGCCAGGCCTTGCCATCTTTGTACAAGGGCCTCACAGACCTAAAACCAGCGTGTGGGGGGTTTCAGGTCAAAGGTTAGTTTAATAATATGTAAGAACACGAGGACTGGTGTAATCTCTGACTGTGTAGGAGAAACTGATACAAAGGTGCTGGGGTGGGGAGGGGTAACTGTCTGCCTTAGTCTGGCTGGGTTTTTTTGAGGCTTGGCCATTTTGGAAGGAAGGTGTCCATTACATTTGCATTGGCAGCTAAAGTCAACCCAGCTAGAAAGCAAGTGCGTGGCTGTGCTGCTGGGATCAGGCTGCTGCAGTGGCTACTGAGCAAAGCCATGGAGGATCCGCTGTGGCTCATGCTCTGCTACAGTGCCAGCGCAGGCCTACCCTCTGGTACAGAGCTGAAATGCTTTGTTGTCATGGACTCTGCTTCAGTCACAGGAGGCACACTCTGAGGCTGCCATGTGCTCCTAGATTTGAGGTAAGGCAATGACGACACGGAGATACGTTTCCATACATTTCTGGAGGGATCTACCATTGAAGGCGAGTGGTGTGGCACGGTGACCCACAGGAGAGAGAACTGTCACTGCCTTGGCAATGGGAAAGGTGCCATGGACTGTGAATGGCACAGATGGCCCAGGTTGGTACAGAAAGCCAGTGTTGAGGCTGTGAGCAGCCAAAGATGGCTGCATAGGGCTCCTAGGCAGCAAAGTGCTCCCACGTGCTGCTGCGTTGGAGGAGCCCCACAGCTCAAGCCAGCGGTGCTAATGGTGCCTGCTCTGGTCACAAAGGCAGCTGGCACCAGGCACAATCCCACAGCCCATGGCTGGTCAGTGCCGACAYGGGCCCACCACCTGTGGCAGAGGCAAGGCGGGCTGTTAATGTGGAGAAAAGCAAACACAAMGCCACAGTCCTGCTGGTGTGCCCCCTCCCTCAAAGTGATTGCACAAGTTGTACCTCTTGCATGCCAGAGAGGGCAGCCACCAACCAACCCATACTGTGATGGATTTGTTGGATTTTTGTTTTTTTTTTTTTAATTAGAAGTCTTACACTTGCTATTAAGTTTACACTTTATACTTGATGGAATGTATGGCTTTGTTCAGGAAACTCTACTACAATGTTGCAGTTCTGTCAGCAGTTCTCTGCCTGGCACAATATATTTTGGTAAGTTCAATTTTTAATTGGAAGAAACCCCACCCACCTCCAACCTATCTTGCCCTCTGTCCTAAAGAAGTGGACCGTGGCCTGACTAGCACTTAAGTTTGGAATACCTGCACGTAAGGGCTTGATTTTTATCATTCTTAATCTAACATGTCAAAGCAGCATCAAATAAATAGAAAAAGCACAGTAATTGATACTGTAGGAGAGGCATGAGCAGATTACACTTTCCAGTTAGTTCTCTTCCACTTCAGGTGTTTGCTGGCAGTGCATTCAAATGAACTGTGATAGTTTTGTTCAACAGTAACCTTCTGTACAGGCAGAAAAAAACAACTCCAACATTTCTGCTTGAAAAGCTGTAAAATATAATCTGTTTGTGTGGGTCTGATCCTGTGAACTTCACTATATGTGTTTATATTGATGAGGAAATGAAAATCAGTCCTATTCTGTATTTGTACTACTGCTTGTTTGCTACAATAGCTTTAATGATTTCTAGAGATTAAGTATGTGTTGAAGCAGGCCCTGTAGCTTTACCTACAGCCTGGAATAGGATTATTGCCTTTTATTCAAGCCTCCTAAACAGCGTCACTCTGTTAGTAAACCATTTTTAAGTCATGCAGGGACTTTGTAACCCACCAAGTGGATCTCACGAAGTGATGTGAAGTATAATTTAGTGATTGTGGCTCTTTTGGTAGGTTTGGGTCAGCACACAAAACACTGGCACATCTTCCASTATCTGCAATTTGCCATTACTGGTACACAGAGAAAAGGAACCACTTCTGACTATTATGGGTATTATGGCAACACAGCAGTTCAAATCATACCCTCAGAAATGAAGAGTAAACTTCTCTTTCACTTACTTTCCCATATTTACATGCAAACTGCTACGGCAAACAGCGTATTTTCTAACACTAGCTTACAGAGCATTACTTTGCAGTCATCTAGTTTGAAGTCAAATCTTACTAATGTGTAAAGTAATTCCTGTTGTACAGAAGTTAACCTGTTGTTTAAAATGAATGGTTAAAAAAAGTGCAAATGACAAATACATGTTGGTGTTTGTATGGGTTTATGTAGAATAAAAGCATTTGGAGGTTAGTTTGATTGTGTATTTTAAAATGGTTACAAGGAAGCAAACACAGCTGGTACCAATGCAAGATCATGCAAGGAATGGAGTGTGAGGCACGGAGAGGCATCAGGTGAGAAATACAGCTGCATTCCAGCCCTGCACGGCTCCAGGACAGAGCCATGCATGTCAGCACACTGAAATCGGGTAGAACAGAAACAGGAGGGTAAAACACATCTGATGAGCCTGGGGAGGACAGGCACTGGCCTAAACCATTCCATACCGGTAGACATTGGTGACCATCCCATTTGGTAAAGCTGGCTAAGGCACACTTTGTACAAGGTAATCCTACAGGAGGCAGCAGAAATAGCTTCTGTTACTTCTAATAGCTACACTGTTTTTCTCAGAGAAGTGTTAACAAACTGCCCAAGAAAGCACATCCTTAGGAATTGGTATCCCTCATTTTAATGCTCCCACTGAAACTCTCCAAATCATGCTCTGCTCTCTTGTTGCCCCATCTCCCCTACCCTGTGGAAGGGCAGTATGGAAAGGAGAACTGGAGGCAGAAAAGGTAAAGATCAGGGGCTGAGATAAGAACAACTTACTGAAAATAAAAAAGATCAAAAAATGATCAGTAACAGCAAGAATATTAAAGGCAGAGGGTAGACAGGAGGCAGATTCATACCTGGTTGCTCACTGCGTGGAGCCTGGAATGCTACATGACCCAGAAGGATATCTGTCCCCAGAAAACGGCATGAGGTGGTGCAGAATAACCCCAGATCCCAGCCATAGCCACTCCTGGCTACTGCAAAAATTAGCCCTGTCCTGCCCGAACCAGGACAAATCCTTATACTTGCACACTGTATGGAAAATGAAAAATGCAGCCTTCTAGACAGAAAAGTTGAGTCAATGCAAGTGACAGCAGTTGCAATGTCTAACAGCAATATCCAATAACCTGTTATAAAAAATCACACTGTGTATTCTCACTGTCCCATACTTTTGCTGCAGTATTTTAAAAACAACAAATCAAATGCAAACAAACAAAGCCCAGATTAAAGTTCTTACAATTCCAGGAAAGTAATTACTATCAAGTAAAAATATATGTAATAAATAATTGATTCTTCACTAGTTTACTGAACTGGTAATAAATTAAAAAAAAAAACCATTAAATAACTATATTTAATCCAAAATAAACATTTTTATTGTAGTTAATGAAACAAATTAGAGTAGGAACAAATAGAAACTTACATTTACATAATGTAAATGCAATTTGCTATACTTACCTCTGCTATATTGTGTTAAAAAACCCAATTATTGTTTATTCTTGTGATTTTATTATAAAATCACAAGAGGCAGATTATCAGGGGTAGCAACTAAAATTTTCAGAGCTTTCAAAATTTAATTTTATCCTTTTAATCTGTATGAGAACATCAAAATAACAACCCAAATGTGGATTACAGCATTGTTAGTGATCAGAACTGCAACCCAGAGTATTACAGATTAACTTTTACATTYAAGGAGTAAGAGGATATTATCAAAAGGTTTATAAAAAACTGTTTTAAACTTTTATATTAAATGTCAGTTTTATTCTAAACAACCCAAACCTTGAAAAATGTTTGTCAAAGTTTCTTGTGCTGAGATTAGTTCGTATTTTGACTCTGTGGAAAAAATACTGAAAAACAAACCTTATCAAGGACTCTTTGCAATTGTTCACAGAATTACAGAATGGTTTGCGTTGGAAGGGACCACAGATCATCTCCTTCCAATCCCCCTGCCACAGGCAGGGACACCTTCCACTAGTAAAGACCCATCCAACCAGACCTTGCACACTTCCAGGAATGAAGCATCAACAATTTCTATAGACAACTTGTTAGAGTGCCACCACCCTCACAGTAAAGAATTTCTTCCTAATACTTAATCTAAACCTGCTCTCTTTCAGTTTAAAACCATTGCCCCTTGTCCTGAYGCCATCTGGACATACAAAAAGTACCTTCCCTTTTTATAGTCCTCTTTAGGTACTGGAAGAATAGTTTCTCCCTGAAGCCTCCCTCACCCTGCTGGCCACACTGCTTTTGCTGCAGCCCAGTATATGACTGGCCTTCTGGGCTCTGAATGCACACTGCTGGCTCATGACCAGCCTTTCATCCAGAGAACTCCCCTGGGTTGCTCTCAATGTCTTCTCTTCCCAGTCTGTATACTCACACCTGAGATTTTTCCAACACAGATGCAGCACCTTGCACTTCAACTTCTTGAACTTCTTAAGGTACTCACTTGTCAAGGCCCACTTCGGAAGCTTGTCCAGGTCCCTCTGGATGACMTTCCTTCCTTCTGGTGTGTCAACTAACTGCACAGTGCAACTTCCTGCCATCAAAGCTGCTGGGGCTACACTCGATCTCAGTGTCTCAGTGTCATCCATGAACTTAATGAAGAGCACCAGTCCCACAACTGAGCTCTGAGGGACACCACTCATCACCTTCCACTACCTGGACACAGAGCTATGGACCACAACTCTCTGGCYRCATCCATACAGCCAATTCCTTRTCCACTGAATAGCCCATCCGTTAAATCCATGTCTCCTCAGTCTGAGATCAGGATGTCACATGGGACCATAGCAAAGGCCCTACAGAAGTCTAAATGATGACGTGTTGACCTTGCCTGGTTGACCATTGCCATCACCCCATCACAGAAGGTCACCAGGTTGGTCAGGCACAATTTGCCTATAGTAAAGCCTTGGTGGCTGCCTTGGATCACCTCTTTGTCTTTTATGTGCCTCAGCACATCTTCTAGGAGGATCTGCTCCTTGGTCATCCAAGACACAGAGGTGAGGCACACTGGTCTGCAGTTTCACAGTTCGTACTTYCTCCCCTTTCGAAAAATGGGAGCTATGCATCCCTTTTTCCAGTCACTGAGGACTTCATCTGATTGCCTTGATTTGTGGCTGTCCASCTTCATCAAATCGTGCCAAACSTGCTCTTGGCCTGTAGTGGGAGGGACTTCACTCCTCCCACACACAGATAGAGAATTGGCACTCAAGAGAAGTGGGAAGTCTAGTGGACCAGGAACAAACTGTCTGCAATTGAATCTCAGTATTGAGCCTGTAACTCAATATTACAAATGCCAAATACCACAGCACTGCTAACTCAAATTAAGAGTGCAGCCCCCTCATGAATGGCAACCCTGGATATTTTTTTTATGATTTCCAGTGAGAAAAGGTACTTTTGTCCTTAGTTCAAGCAGTTAAGCAAGTTGAGCCACAAAGCAATAATTATGTAGAATATATTTTATGCTATTCAGGCACATACAACCATGCTTTTGGCAAAATATGAAAAGCATGTAAAAAGGATAAGTTATGGAAAACTAACAGCATCAAGAGTTGCAGATTTTATTTGGAGTTCTCACTTTGTGCTTCATCTTCTCCAGTGATCCCCACCAATACCTGCTCTCTACATGGTCCAAGATCTTCCAGCTGTTTTCTCTGTCTGGTTTCTAGCTCTTCTAACCGCTTGCTAAGCAGGGCAAGCTCTCTTTGATGCTGCTCCTCCTTGAAATGAAAAGCAAAAGAAATGTGGCTCTATTACATTTTGTACACCTACAAGGGACCAAAGTGAACARTACTTTCATTTTCTTTAATGAAAATAAAACCTGTGAAGTCCAAAATGTCCTTATTTGTTACATTTTACTCCTCAATGTTTCATGGGTATTGTCCTGACATTCTTGATGAACAGCATCAGAAGGAAATACAAGCACAGCTGTTCCTCCTCTCAGATGAAGAACACAAACCTAAGGTCTCAGTAACCATGAATCTATAAAGTCGACCTGGTCAACCTCAGCCAGAGAATTTTTCACCCTCAGAAGCTCAGCATAAGACTCTTTTAACCACACAAGAAATCAAGAGCAACAATATTGCTTTGTAATAATAAAACTGTGGTATGAGAACAACACTGTAGTATTTCTTGCTCACAAGGAGCCATTGAAAGCCTCTCTGAAGGACAAAGTAGGGAGAACTTTGTTAAAACTGCCTGTTTGTTACATTCTGTAACATATTCTTTGTCTTTCAAGTACTCCTTCCTATTGCAAAAAATGGAACATCTCTAGGTAACTCCAAGTTTCTTACTTCTGTTCAAAGGAAATATGCCTTCCTTAAGACTAAGGTCAGTAAAAAAAGGACAGTTCCAGTATCTTCTTTAGTTGTATTATTTTTACAACTTGCAATATATCACCACCTGAAGAAGGGAGATGGATGATTGAGGCCCAAGAGGCAAGGCAGACGATGGCATTATAGCCCCTGGATTGAGTGAGGGCATGTCAGGATTCAGAATTATACTCCGGAATTCATTGTGCCGACGTTGCAAGTCCTTTAGCTTCTTCTGGATGCGAGCATATTCTTCAGAGGACACATTCTGTCTAGGAAACAATAGATTTCTTATTGCTCAAAATCTTTGTTATCCCAACACAGCAACATACTTCTCCATGAGTGCTCTGTTGTTTAATATCCCCACTTTTTACCTATCCTCACACACCAGAAGAACTGGAAGGTAGAAGATCTGTGTCTATTATTTTGCCTACATGTCTGTCTAGATGTCCCTCTATCTGCTCTATTACAGATTAGAGACCAGGCATAAAATAAATTAAGCTTTTAATACCACTCACAGTAGTGAGTCAGAGAAGCCACATTTTTAAATTAATTATTCAAATCAAACTCTTCATAGGTGATCAATGAAAGAAAAATAAACCAGGACTATCATTCAAAGAGGATGCTCTGTAAGTTTCTCTTGCAATTCTGCAGTCTTTTTAACTTCCTTCTTTTAAAGGGATTTCTGCAACTGTGTCTATTGGGTATTTTTTCTCTTCCCAAAGAGAAAGCCCTGCAGTTGTCTGATAAGCTTTTAGCTGCCCACCCAAACAGAATCTCTTTCAAGAATTCTAGTGCTGTAAAGGTCATTAGACTGGATACTGGTTACTAATCTAGCTAACATGTATCTTCAAAAATACTTCATATTTGTAAGTCATACCTTGGGTATATGTAATTTTTCAAGCCAAGAAAAGGCAAAGTTTATTACCTATTTAACACTTTATTTTCTTTTTCTAGTTCTTCCATTTTGGCTTCCAAAAGCTCTATTTTCTCACGCATTCTCCTTTGTTTCTTGTCATTGAGAGTCATTCTCTGTCAAATAGATGTTTCAAACAGTTAAGTAATATCTTGATAGATTACATCCTGTAAAACTTAAATCTACACTGTACATGGTTTCAAGCTGTGACACCTTATAGGATTTTTCTTCCTTAAGARGAGATGCTGCATTGTCACTGTTTTTTGCTCGTGTTGACCTTAACTTTTAACCTTAAAAGATACTGGTAGGTTTCATAACCTTTCTATGTTCAGTGTATGCAGTAACACTGCTAATAAATCTTGAGCTTTTATAAACAATCTGTCTTTCCTTCCAAATTATTTCATAAAAATTAAGCTTAGGAGAAGAAATAAAATTTTAATATTACATCAAGGAAAAGTAGAACATCATTTGTCTAGTATTTGAAACATCATCCTCCCTCATCAAGGGGTCCATCTTCTCTTAAATAACCATCCATGCACACCTGTGTGCAAAGAAAATCTCACAAAATCTTCGATGGCATTACAGCAAAGTTGTTGGCTGTAATATTCTTTTGCATGTCACTTCAACCTATTTCCATGCTAATCTTGAAGAAGCCAATATTAGTTTAGTTATTCTATACAGTAGACTGCAAATAAACTCTTAATTGAAACAATTCAAGCTGGCCAACATACACTTGAACTTTTCACAAACAAGATCATTCAAAAAGGAAGAGACTACATGCCTTTTTCTGAGCAACAGCAGCTCGACATAGCTTGTTCTTCATTTGCTTGCATTTCTCTTCATACTCTGCTATGTGCTGAGTAAGCCTATGCTTCTCCTGCAGCCATTCCATACGCTGGTACTCTAAAGTCCTTTGGAAAAATCAGGTTAAAAGATTAAGAGGTTACACAAACCAAGCAGCGCATGCAGTTAATGCCTTAAGGCTCTTAAAATAGATGCAACTTTTCACAAYTCCTACTTTTATATACTTAAAGGATCTGATACAAATTTGATTATGTTAACAATCKAATCATGATTACAACATTTGAATCTGTGCATTATTATCCTAGGTTCAATCCTTTGTTCAACCACAAGGCACATTTTGAAAACCGATTCCAAGCAGCTATCTGTTGATGCCCTGTTGGACTGGCATGCTGCCAAACCACCCACAGAAAATTCCTAAATTCAGGTKGAACAATCACACTGGAACACAAGAGTAGATGCCTATGCCAAAAACAGTTGTCAGAAGAGCTGACAACTASCCTCTCTGTTTGGGAGAGCAGGGTGCTGCCCTATGGGGTCTCTTAAGTCTTTGTAACAGACTTGGTTAAGATGCGCTCCTAACCAGAAGAAACACCAGCTCAACAGGAAGCTCCAGCCAATATGGTTTCTAGACAACATTCCAGCTGAACACACACCACCAATGGCATATGTTATCTATTTAGACCTTTGCATGGTTACCACATACTAAAAATAGGCTGTGTTCTCTAGCAGTGGATAGGAARGGAGCCAGTTTCTCTGTGCTGCCTTGTTTGTTTGGACTATCTACACTGTGAGTCAAAGAAGACATGAACTAATTGCATATTTAATGACATTACTGTTAAAAATTAAAATCAAATGGTGAGATTTTTTACAGAAGGCCAAGGCTTGGTGTTAGCGCACCCACACCACTRCAGTCCTGGGCAGATACAGTTTCCCTATAGGGACTCCGAATGCATCTCCATAAATCTCTCACCAAACCACCTCTCCCTTCCGCACAGCAGAAGTATGAGGAATCATCCCAATCTCATATGGGAAACAGGGTCCTRGCTTACGTGTTACCTTTCACAGCTCTTTTAATTGACCCACCATGGCTTGTTACTCTCTCATAACTGTAACTAACTAATAGTACCCAAGAGCCAGAGCACTTTGTACAAGTACTGCTTAGCAGTAAAAGGATTTCAGCTGAGGCAATGGTTAAAAATGCTTGTKTCAGTCACATGTGGGGGTTTCTTTAGGTGTTTTTAGGAATGTGGGGGTGTTGTTTGTTTTGAATGCCATTAGCATAGTTTCCAAAATGCTTAACAAGTGCCTRTTTCAGCTGTTTCATGCATTGCTCTGCCTCAGCAAATTGAGATTTGTTGTTCAGTTCAATGCTCAACTGGCATTACTTTATCTGAAACTTTTTATCTTATGCTTTCTCATCTTTTGGTCCCTATTTCACTTCCTCTTGCTTTGGTGCAACTTAACTCTTGGAGTTCAAGGTCTCAAGAATTTATTGAACTGAGAACGGATGTCCTATCACTCACAGATTCTTAAGCAGAATGGGAACATACCCCAAGGCTCCCAGGGTAGCAGTGGGACAGACCTGYAAGACCTACATGCAGGCTACACAGCTGCTTCATTTCAGCAGTATCAACCTTAGTGCATTTCCCAGTACCTACATATTTGTATAATGATCTCTGAGGACTGACAAGTTCCTTCCACTGCTTTTCCAGGAAAATCTAGTCCTGACTGGTTTGTGGCCCATAAATATGTGACACTGACAGTCTCATTCAAGTAACAGCAATGATCACACTCAACATGTCAGTACACCTCCCTAAAATAAAAATCCATAGTATTTAATGTGCTATTGACATACTACTGCAATAATACTTCAAATGTTTAATTGAAAAGCAATACTTAAAATAATGACAACATAGCAATTGCAGCACCAATTATCAGCGAAAGAGTTGTTAAAAAAAAAGGTCACATTAAATATAAAAATTTCAGAGTGTAATCTGGGACACTGACTTTTTACAAAGCCCATCACACAAAGATCCAGTACAGTTAGATGTATATTTGGTTACTAAGCTAGGAAATTCTGAAGAGTCATTTCAGACTGAGAAATTAACCTTTATATTCCAGGAAAGTGTACATTTCTATATGGAATCTAAGTAAGATTTGGCTTAATTCAGCATTAATTATCATATTTTGGTGGTATATGGTCACGCTTGTGCAAAAAAAGGAAAGTAATTATTTTTAATTTTGATGAAAGGAACTAGAAAATATCCTATAAGCTTTTCTTGACCTCATATCAACTAAAAATATCTAGTGGAAAAGGAAAAGAGGTGTACACACATACTGACTGGGACCCTGGAAYTTTATCAAAATGCTTGAATGCTTTTTTCATGTTTACATTAAACATTCTTAAAATAACTTTGAAACTCTTGATCCATTTATACCTACAGAAGTTTGACATTCACTTCAGTATAAGTAGAATTTCCTTTTGTGCAAGCAGTGTATCTCACTAATCAATAATTAATTTTAACAGACATGAATGGAAACAAGCTCCTGTTTTTAAACATTGTGCAAGAGAATGTACAGCCATTTTTACAACTGTCCAGTATTTCCTGTTCATTTTTACTTTCTGACTTTATTCAGAATTTACAATCCATAATTAAGTMATCTACATGAGAGGAACACAGGCAAAATGAAAAATAAAGCCAAAAGAAAAAAAATTACTTCTCTGTTTCCAGTTGAGCTTTCTCTGCCTGAGTCCTTGCATGTTGACATCCTTGTTTCAATCTCTCTATTACTTCTTTCAACTTCTGATTAGACTCCAGCAAATAATTTTCTGATTGAGAAAGTGAGGCAAGTTGGAGTTGCATATCATGTATTTGCTACAAAAAAAATTAAAATTTCTATTTCAGAAGGCATGCAAATAACAACTGATTTTGAGATACTGAGAGAATGCAAAATGGAGACACCCACTGGCTTTAGTTTTTCATTAGCCCTTTTTACTTCTTTTTACTCAACACTTTCTCCAGAAGCTTTCCAGTAAATCACTACAAGACAAAGGGTTTCTGTTGTAATTAAAATGAAGAAGGGAGGCAGAACTTCAGAAACCCAACACTTCAGCCCCAGTGCTGAATAGAACTCAAGGTCCACACAACATTTAGTAGCAAAGCTTTGGAGCTACCCAGACTCTTCTCATAACAACCAATGTGTCACAGCCAGCAGTGACTGCACCAACCAATTCACAAAACAGGGAAGCACTAAAGAGTCCAACCTCTGCAGCCAGCACATAGAAATGCTGATTGCCCTTTCCTTTTCCTCCCCCAACATTGTCACTTAGATCCCCCATTTTCTGATTTCTGGAGGAAAAAAATAATTGCCTTCAACTTCAAGTGTACAAAGCTTGCAGACTACGTTGGTAGACAGCTATTGTTTTTACCTACTAAATAACATCACAGGCAAGCAGGAGTTAAAAAAATTAAGTTTTATTTTCAACACTGCCATCAATTGACTCTGCAATAGAAATGTACCTCTTTACACTAGTTTGTTCATTTATGAAACATCTGTTAAACACTTCAAGAACCTCAGATGAGAGATGCACTGTAAATGCAAAGCATTACCTAGAAACAATTTGTAAGTCTCCATGGCAACTGAATCTCCAGTTAAGTAGTGCATAACCGTATTCAATATACCAGTCTATAAACATTCAGCTTTGAAATTCCTGGTACCCACAAAACACATGAAGCAAAAAGCTGTAATCCATTTATAGGGATCCCGGAAAGCATGATTGATTTCTGAACACTTTTCCTTTAAATATCTGTAGTACAAATTTTTTCCCTCAGGAAAAAAAAAAGAAAGCCTTAAAAAATCTTCAAACACAGGGCATAGTAACTACAGGAAAGAATGTGTTTCTCTATAAAGCATTACAATGCAATAAAACCGTACCTGTTTCAGATTAGCATTTTCACATTTCTTTTCTTCCAGCTCCTCTGTCTGCATAGCCTGTTGTTGAATTTTCAATCTAAAAWTGTGTAAGGCACCCTTATTTTTATATAATCAAAATACAGATGTTATAAATTAGAACAAATCAGCCTGACAAATAAATAGCATTCTTTGAAAGGTTGATGAATATTTAAATAAAAATTATTAAAAATATATCTCTATTCATTCTTAGAATTCACACAGGAGTAAGACTTTTGGAGTATGACTCATTTTATCGTACTGACCTTCGTACAAAAATTACAGCAAGCCAAATGAACTCACAGCCATAATAACCAACTCAGAGACATCATATTAGGGTCCCAGCTTGCCAGTTGCTGCTATGGTGCCATTGTGGAAAAAGAAATGGTTTACTACTCTTAACACTGGGGCTATGCCAGCAGCCAGCATTGAACCAGTTTTAACAAATTTGTATTGCTAAATTATGACTTCCAAATGGTCATTGAAATTATATAAAATTTAAAGGTTTGGATGAAGAGTGGGCTTTTTTTAAACAGTTAATTTAAATTCTGCTCTCTTTTTTTATATAATGCAAGAAATAATTTTGTTTAATCTACTATAATGAACATTTCATAAGAAATGTTATATATACTGTCTGATGTAAAGAAATTAGGGGGGAAAAAATGAGAAATTTGTTTTAAGATTAAAAAAGCCACACTACCGCAAACGCTGAAGTTCCTTTTTGCTAGATTCTTCTGCCATCTGCACAGCACGTAGTTTTTCTTCATATTGATCCTTTTCAGATTGTCTCGAAAAATCTTGTTCCAGTTTCATCTTCTCTAGATCAGCTAATCTGTTCTCTAGTTCTAACCTGAAATATTATTCAACATGCACACAAGAATCATTGCAAAATGCCAGAAGTGTTTAGTTGTTAGGAGTGACATTTTTAAAAGTAACTCAAAACATTCCTCATTTAGAAATTGAGAAGGAAATCAACAGACATACTTCTCATTCTGTAAGGCTGCAAAGTTTTCAAAAACTTCCTCTTTGGCAGCTTGCACTTTACGAATTAGCTCCCGATCCTTTTCTAGTAGAAGCACTTTATGACGTTCAACGGCTGCATTAAGAATTTCCTTGTCGGACAGCAATGCTGCATTATACATTAAAAAAGGTTAAACACATCATTATTGATAAGAACCTGATGAAATCCTTTATTCAAATAACATTTTTAATTCATAAAAGGTAACCAAAAATCACAATTCACATGATAGACTGAATCAGGAAGGGGAAAAAGACAAAACACAAGAAAACCAGAAGAGACCTTTCTTAGTATAACTTAATACTTCAAAAACTTTTGAAAAGTAACCATTACATTGGAATCTCTGTCTGTGAGAGTTTATTACTTTAATACACAAAAGTAATTTAACAGATGATATTATTATTATTATAGATTTAAACTCTAGAGCAATTTACACTAAGCAGTTGTGTCTGGATTTAAAGACTGTTTTTCTAAAATGTGTTCCACAATAGCTATGAGAAGGTTGAGCAGGAAAATTTTCTTTTTCTGGAAAACCTATGGTAAACAGTAAGTGGTTATCAGTGAAACCAGYAACTGGGCTACAACAAACCTCACATTTTAATCCACCTATATTATCAAATGAGGCAATTCTAAAACCTTGACTGTATAGGCAGGGACAAATGATACAAATTTAAATCCTGTGACTGACACTTGTGTTCACTGGCAAATAAGCCAATTTGCTCAAACAGTGACTCCTGAATATTTAGTTAATTCAGTAATGCAAATGGAATTCCACAGTAAGTTTAGGCTAACTTAAATCCTGTCTGTATAAAGTTTCATATTTCACAGGGCCCAACATTTTTAGTTTGCAATATACTGTAAGTATATTGTCAGTACAGAAAACATCACTTTTTAGTTGCTCTTAGCAAACTTAACATTAAAGCAAATGAACAGAAACAATTACTTCAGGAAGGTAAAGGAACTATTTTGGGGCTATGGCAAAACAGTGAGGACAGTTCTCTTTAAAGCTGTGTAGCGATCTAAACACAACYGGAAGTAGAAAGTTTTAGTCTTTCACTCTATAAAGCAGTTTCAATTTGCCTACACATTCAGCTGCATCAGGTAGCTTAGAACAATGCCTATTCCCTTCAAAGAATGAGCCAGGTACATACTTTGTTTCACATGGCAGCCTTACGGAATTGGTATGAATTACACAGAATCAAAAAAAAACCCCAAACACTGAAGCCCTGTGGTATGTTAAGGCTTCAAGCAGAGTGTGAAAGACTCTAGAACTTAGCAAGATAGAAAAAAATAACCTTATGAAGTACATATTTTAAACAGATTATGTACAAGTTGTGTCACTAATTTACATAAATGAAAAATTGATCACAACTGTTCTTTACCTAACAGAGCAAGTGAAACAACACCATTATTTCAAATACAAAATGAATGGTCACATCTATGACCTAAATCAGAATTTGAAGGTGAAGGCTGCTGGGGATTGTTCAGAGAAAAAAAACTAGAAGTTACAGATGAAATAATTACAAAATAATTTCATACTTTACCCTCCATTTCACTTTGAATCTTGTTTCTCTCTCTTTCTACTTCACTCTTTGTTCTCGCTGCCTCCAGTTTGACATTTGTTACTTCCAACTTATGTGAATGTTTAAGTTCTTCTACCTATGGATTAGAAAAAACCAACACCAAATTAACTATAATAAATTTATATATATTTATTTCATGTCTGACCACAGATGCCTCAGAGTCAAGCTAAAATAAAGTTAATCAAAACAAAATCCATAAATAAATCAAAACAAAGACAACCAAAGCCAGAGTATCAACTACTTCTACTACTTCCCCTTCCAAACTGAAAGTAATCTCAATTTGGTAACTACTTATAGTCCCCCTGACCTCCTGGAGTGCTGTATGACTTTCTCAAAACCCAGGTTTTCACAGTTTTAAAGTGCATTTTAAATCAAATACTTCACTAAACACACATCAAATGGTCTCATAAAAGTAGGAGCTTTAAGAACATCAACTCAAAGAAGATTACTGCTTGCATGGAAACTTTCTATAGTTTAGGCATTTGAATGCAATAATTACACGGTCAATGAGAACTAAATATCTGGAGGAAAGCACTTAAAATGAAAATCCATTCACAATGACAAATGTAATTACAACCTGCTAGCATATACAAGTGGCAAAAGGTTAAGAATGAGACAGTAGCTTATTAAGTAACTACAGAAGATTTAGTTGTGTATATACTAAGTTGATAACATTTCAGGGCAATTTGAAAAGATTTAAGGAGGCTTTTTAAGGCAGAAAATCCAGAAGACAAACACATGCACCTGTGCTCAGGAATAAATTTATTTTATATTAAATTTATATTGCAGAGTGCGTGCAGAAGCAGGTGGAGGTTAGTATAGTAAAGCTTCTATTTTCCTCTTTTTGAGAAACAACACTGGAACATTTTATTTTGTCCTACTTCTGGCAGRGAGCAGAGATGACCAGTCAATACAAAAATTAAGACTTTAACAATCCTATATATCCTGAGAGAATTGACTGAAAAATATTTAACAGAAGTTTCCCCCTCCTATTTAGCATTCATGGGGGACAAGTATGGCATATTACAAAAATAGGCTTTAAATAGTGGTATAGCTATTCCTATGGTAAATTAGAACTTTTTTTTAATTTAAGGACCAAAATTAAATACTTCACAGTCAGAAATGTGCACTGTAAAAAAATCTCAAAAATACCAAAAAGCACACAAACAAAAACATAGAAATAAACACAAAGAAGAAAACCTCTAAGATCTGGTGCCAGCCCAATGAAGTTACTCAAAAATGTCTTAAGACAATAGTCTACTTAAAATGCTATGATGCAATTCTGTACTGAAATGTTTCTGTACAAGCTGGCATTAGCCCAAGAAAAAGGCTATGCTAATGTTRACTACCCTGCTTCTAATATAATCTAAATCTCTACAAGTAATTCCAATGCAGTCTGCTGCCTGTAGCTAACACAGCTCATTCAGAGCATGCTTTTTAAGATCTCCAGAACCCATAGCTCCACTATAAAAAAAAGGGGGAAAAAAAATTTAAGATCTAAAGGCTGGCTCTTTTCATAAGCATTAAAACATGAATATGAAGATACCTCTTCAAATCCTGCTCTGTTCAGAAAGAAAAGATCTAGAAGATAAAATAATAAGAACATAACCTCAATCTTTAGAGATACTTTTAGGTATGACATTTCTCCTGTAAAGCCACATATTCTCAATCTTCCAACTGAAATTGGGGGACAAATTCCAAACCTATTTCAAGTGCCAGCAAAAGACACTGTTACTTTACTCTTAGTGTAAAATATAAACAGAAAAACTTTAACATAACATATCTGAAAAATGTATTTCAGATATCATTAAAGTACTTACTTTAGCAGCTAAGGAATTGACTTCTCGTTCAGATTTGTGAAGTTTGCTAGTTAAAAGAATGTTTTGATCATGACTTGTCCGCAGTTCTTTCTCAATTCGATCAACCTGTAGTTCAGCAGACTTCTTTTCTGCCTTGAATGAAGGAAATATTTGTAAGATGTTTGGTAGCCTCTTTTTACTCATTTGAAACATTTGACTGATCTAGGCTTTCAGATATTACTGACTTGTTACTATATATAATATGAYATAAAAATATTCATCTTTGCTCAACCATCTATTCCTACACAACAAAATTCTTGAATTTTACTCACAAGTCACAACTGTTTTTACTAACACCTCCTACACAGAATCACACACAATTTCAATCCTCCTTCATAAGAGGTGGTGGTAATCTGACTTGGTTAGGAGGCAGCAGGTGTGCTTACCWGTAAATTATGGGCTGTAAACAGTGTAACTATAAATGGTGTCCAAAAAGATGTAATAGGCTGGCTTATGCAGTTATACTGACTGAAGAATTACCAATATAGAGAGGACATACAATGCAATTAGTGTATTATAGACTCAAGACCCTGATTTTGACTGAATATCAAAAARGTAATCTAATGTATGATTTCACWTTCCTTTTTCTGAACATCTATTTTCGGCAGTACTCCCTTCAAAGGTTTCTAAGAATATAACAGCACTTCTAAAGTGGAGATCAGAGCGTTTTGTAACTAAGTTATATAGCACTGACAATATCAAAAAAGAAAATGAACCACCTATCTCCATGCTTCAACTATGAGAAGATCTAGATGAAAAGGTTCACAGCCTAGAGAGGTGGCAAGAACTGACAGAAGGACTGTGGATCACAGATGAGGAATACAGTGGAATTCTGGAAAATGTACAACAGGCCAGAAATACCAAGTTTCTTTAAGGGAGAGCAACAGCCAAGAACTAAACAACACTAATAATGTGTTGGAGAAAGAAGAGGCACAAATAAGCAAAAAAGATGACAGATGAAAAAAGGATTAAAGAAAGAAAGGAGCATCATGTGACATTTTTTTAAAAGAATAAAGAATTTACTGTAGAAGATTATTAACTTAATGGTTTCTAACTCCAGCCAAGTTGGTTTCTAACTCCAAGGCAAGTTCTGACATTACCTTCTTACTGACTACAACTATGGATATCACTTGAACATTTGGAAAGGAGATTGCTCAACAGAATCTCTCAGTTAAGTTCTCCACCTTTCCAAAGTCAAAGTGGCAGTGCATGACTCCCAGGCAATTACAAATTGATTTTAAATCTGAAACGTACAAATTCAGATTGTGGAGTCAATGGCAAAATCATCATGACTTCAGTGACAGCTCTGTCAGGCCAAGTGTTATTCTTACTACACTCTACATGGAGGCAAAATAATAAAAAAAGTCTTACCTCTAGAGACCGCATCATAGTCTGCATCTCGGCTATCTGTCGTGCTTGTACTCTTTGAACATTTTCTGCTTGCACACCACAATTGTGTCTCTCTGCTCTTTGTTCTTCTACTTCTGCTTCTAAGGCTTTTAATTTCTGACACAGTTGTGCCTTTTCTCTAGAAAGTGCTTCCACACGTTTACTGTCCCTTGTAGGATCAGCACTAAGCAGCTGATTATGGAGTTCTTCTTTATCTTTATCCAGTCTTGCAATCTGATAGTTGTTAATCAGAAAAAATGAAATGCTTTTACATTGGTTAGGTGTCAGGCATCAACAATTACAGCAGTTCACAATTCAGAAGAGAGAAACAGTGGACATTTACAATATTAAGAAATTACATTAGCRTTTGTTTTCTTGTTCAGAATAAGAAAATCAAAGCAAGACCACCTGACTGCCTGTAACTAGTGGGTTTTTTCTGAAAACACTACAGAGTCTAATACTGATTGATGTCCTCATTAGCAAGCTGGATGATGGGATGGAGTCACTTTTAGGAAGCTTGTGTATGACACCAAGCTGGGGGGAAATGGTCAATCTGTTGAAAGGCAGAAATGCTATCCAGAAGAATCTGGGCAGGCTGAAGGAATGGACAGAACTGGTTTCTCTTCAACAAGAAGAGCAAGTCATGCAACAGGGATGGAGTAACTCAATGCAACGGTACAGGCTGGTAGCAACTGTCTAGGAAGCATCCCCATGGAAAAGGATCTGCGGGTCCTAGTGGACAATAAGCTGAACATTAGTCAGCAGAGTACCCTTACAGAAAAGATGACCAATTGAATCCTGGCAGATTGGCAGAAGGATAACTAGAAGATCCAGGGACATGATTCCTTCTCCCCCTTCTGGTACTGGTAAAGCTGTATGTGGAGTTTGTGTCACCTCCAGATGGCCACTAAAATGTTCAGAGGGTTGGAGTACAAAACACATAAGGACAGCCTGAGAGAACTAYGCCTCTTCAGCTTGGAGAAGGGAAGATGCATGGTGATGGGAAGAGAGGCATCAGGCACAATTTGAAACATATGAGGTCCCACTTACGTATTATGAAAAAGGTTTACCATGAAGGAGGTTAAATACTGAAATAGTCTGGCCAGAAAAATTATGGACTCTCCATCCTTGTAGATATTCAAGACTTGGCTGGACATGGGCCTGAGCAAACTGATCTCATTCCACTTCAATATTTAAAGCAGGATTTTTGACTAGAAAGTGTCTCTTCCAATTTACCTTATGATTCCACCATTTTTAATTACAACAGAACTCAAATCTGCTAATAACTCCAGACAGCCAACATGACTGGAATGTGACAGACAATATAACAAAAACAAAAAAAAAATCCCAAAAAACAAAACATGAAGAAAAAAACCCCACACACCTAACAACAACAGAAGAAAACCTCAACTCTCACAAGGCAGTACAAAAGGTACAAGCTAATCTGGAGACTGTAATTAACAAACATATAAATACATAGATTGTTATGTTTCAAAGTAAGTTACATGGACTGAATATAATACTAGGGGCAAAAGAGTGAGAAAGTAAGGTATGTAAGAGTTCTCCTGATATTTAGAGACCAGTTCAAACTCCGATCTGCAGCAGTGCTTTTAAAAGTTGCACCAGCGCTCTCTGTGCAACTAAGCTGGTTTCTGCAGCAAAAGCCTCCAAAAGCCTTTTATGAGGAGATTCAATGGCATGATAAGCACTATATGCCCAAGCCCTCATTTAAGAGTTAGGATGTTTTTATGGCCTCCTTGTGCTAGATAACATGGAATGTTAAAAAGCCTTTGAAAGAAACCTGATCACACTGTGCCCTGGGCTCAAGGTAGTTTCACTACGTGTGCTAAATTAGCTGCAGAACTAGCACAAACTCAACAAGCCCATGAGATAGGCAGGCTGTAAAGCAGCATGTGGGTTTAGCTCCAGGAAGGACAACTGTTCTGTTTTTAATGCACTACATTTGCAAACTTGGATTGATTTTGAAAGTGATGATTGCTTTGATTTGTGTCTGATGTTTGGAGTAATACATTCAAATCTGGCATCTTAGAATGTATCCTTCCAGACAAATACCTAAATGGATATGCAAATGACATCTGCAACTCATTTACACTGTTGTATATCTTTAAAACATAAGTGACTATTTATTTAGCTACATACAATTTTGAAAGTCCAAAGAACTGAATGAAKGGTTTCTTCCAGAGTTAATACAATTGAAATAAAGTTACCAAAGTTTTCAGCATCCTTCTGATTATCACCATCATGATCCAAACTAGGATCATGACAGGTGCATTGCAAAATGTACCCTTATCTTCTATTAACAATATCTTTCTGATTAAGTTGCCATATAAGTAATTTAAAGTCTAAACTTGCATTGGTTACTCAGAAAATTTATTAATTTCAAATTAGCATCATGTGTCAAATTTCTTTACAAATGTGATTAAAAACATCATTAAGCAAACATACTGGCTCTCATTTACCAGAAATGAATTATTCTTACTTTTAATAGCACAAATAATATTGCAACCCATCACTGAACAAACCTACAGAGACAGCCTTAGGCTAAGTCATAGAACTGTTTTGAGATTTAAGAGAATGGAAACAAAAATTATGAAATGGTGTCAAGCTGACAACCCTTCAAGTACCAACAGTYCCACAATGTTCAAGCAGCTTTGTCAGAGATACTTTCTAAGCTACTATAATGTTCTACATACCTCAGACTCATATATTGTTTTCTTCTCTTCTAATATATGTGCATGCTCTTCCATTTGATGTTTGAATTCTGATTTCAGAAAGGTATGTTCATAACGAAGTTTGTTATACAGTGTTCTGTATTTTTCCACTTCCTAAGTTAGACCAAAAAAACCCAAAAGAACCAGTTAAATGTTTTCAGATTTACTTCCTTCAAATGTCCATGCAATGTTCCTATTGTTTCACAAATTGTCTTGGATAAGCTGAATGCCTCCTTCTCCCTCTTCCACAATTTCAACCTTCCCTGCCTGGGACAACAGTACCAGACAAATAATGTCATACTGTGCTCTCCATCCAGTTTTAATTTCCTAAAGTTTTAAGAACAACTGCAAAGCAACAATCACCACTCTAAATGAAACAGAATTTCAATACTCACAACTTACATTTTCTAGCTTCTGATAACGCTCTCTCATAGGAAACTCCAATTCCTCCTGTATTTTTGCTCTTAACAGTTCTAATTTTTGAGGAGTTAGCACCTTAAAACAGAAGAGTATCACAAATAACTAGTCATATTCAGTTATTTACACTGGGATAGGTCAAATAGCCAGGAATAAAATATTTCAAATATGACTTTAGGAATTCTATTTAATTTTCTATGTTTTTCTAAAACATAAAACATTTCAATAGCGTTTACAGAGGCAAAAAGCATATTAGTGAACTAAAAATATTCTGGGAAGATGACAGCAGCATTCAGAATATCAGTATCCATCAGTAGAAGCAATACAAATTTCAGGCTGAATTGCCAAGACAGTTATCTGCTTTGTGGGGGATGGGGGAAGGAAAAGCAGTCTCACATAAAAGATAAGGAATTAGTGTCTGGAAAAACTTAATAAGTGAACCAATCCCAAAAGATCAAAATGAGCAAAAATYAATTATTTGCAAGGTACATTGCAAATGTGTTTCTCCAACAGACACATGGGTACTTGTTTCAATTAAAAAAAAAAAAATCAGGAAAGATTCTGTGCCTTAAGTTCCATTCTGTATGGTATTTTGTTAAAAATCTTTCATATAGTTCAGAGAGGAAACAAAAAATTTCATCCACAACTGTGACATATTCCAATTTATGGTACTTTTCTTTCACTTATCTGTACCCTGAAGTCCCTGGAAACTAATTCTAGTTATGATGCTGAGGCACATCTTCTCCATTCAGAGTCTGGGATCATTTGTTTAGAGACCATATGTGTTTCCTAAATACATGCCCTGCATTAGTTTAAGGAAACAAGCAATTATATAAAGTGTCATACAAATTATCTTAAATATTGAGGAGTTCTTTTGTTTGATTTTGTGTTTGGTTTGGCTTTTAAAAAAAAAAAAGAAAGCAGAAAGCTGTCATCATGAAAAAGAAAAATTATCTATTTTTCTAGTCACTTATCCTAAGGGGTTTAGACACCTAAGTTACCCTGCAAGGTAGATTATTCTCTCCTTAACAGGAGAGCATGCACAGACAGAGACTGAGGGTCTTACACAGCATATAACAACAGGATCTGGATGATTTAGTTTAACAAGAAAACTGTCATTTCAACCCATAGTCACTCTAGAGAAGAACCRTCACTTGGATTGGGTGAATTTCAAGATATCTGAAATATACCCAAGCTGGGTATATACATGCTGCATTAACAGAAAAACATGCATGGCCCTATTACAGAATAAAAATACATACTAAGTCCTTCTAGTAAATTATCTCACCTGCATCTTCATTTGTTCCAGCTCTTGTGTTTTACCCAGTAACTGCTCTTGACATTCAGTGAGAAGCTGCTGAAATTTGTCATGTACAGTCTGCTTTTCAGCTAACAACYGTTTCAGTTCATCTTGTGATTTGGTATAATCCTCTTGTAATCTGAAGATAAAATACATATTTACTTTTTATACACATTTTAAAATTAGGCTTTAAAGCTCAAAAGACTTACATGCAGAAGCAAACATACAAACACCAAATAAGAGCCAAGCTATTAATATYCTCTCCCTGTAATATACTGAAAAGTTATCCCATATTTACAAGCATAAAAAGTACTGCAGAAACATCGTCTGCAATGTCTTAAGGTACTTCAAATTGTTTGTCTTCTAATATGAACAACACTCAAAACTGTCCTTACAAATGGAAACAGCTCACACACAACACAGACACAAGCAAATCCCTTCCAACATTTAGCTTCATCTTTTAACAGCTCAAATAGAGAAACTTGTTTAAATTGATGTACCTTAGATGTTCTGCCCTTAGAGTTTGATAATTTGCTTTATGGTGTTCACTTCGCATTTTTTCATCCATCAAAAGTTTTAGTATTTCTTGTGAATTAGCGACATCACCATTTTCACCCACAGGAGGAAGGAGGCTGCCCAAAGCATCCATTTTATGATGACTCTTCACAACAAGTATGGAGAAGACAAGATCAATGTATAACTAATCTATTCCTTCCAATGACATCTTAGAAAATCAAGACACCTGACAAATAAAAAGACATGTAATTAGCAGTCAAGTAGATTCACAGTTCACAAGTTTCACAYGCTGCTTTTGCTTTAAGTACAGAAGAATCCCGGTTCTGCTGTAACTCGTGTTGGAAACCTTTACTGAAAGTGCAACTCTTCTCATTCAGCCTGCCCTGAGAAGTAATAGCCCTTCCAAGGGCATAGAATACACTTAAAAAATAAAGGTCATTTGAGTCAACACAAAATAAGAACAAGCACTCTATCTGACAGATTACATGAAATGTTATTTTTTCTTATGCTATACACTGAGACTCCAACGATGATGCCCTAATTATGCCTTGTTAATCAGAGTTCAAGCAGAGGCCACAGAAAGCAGACACATACAGCTCTTCCTACTACTTATCAAAGTCTGTGACACTATTCTAACAGGTTGGTTTACTCAATACAGAACTATTTCAGCTGGAAGAAAAGCAGCTAATTCTCTATTGGATTCCTATCAATCCCTCTCTGGAGAAGAGTTAAGGTGTCAGGGACAGCCTGGAAGACACCTGCTCACAGCATAGTCCTGAAATATGTAATTGATACATGCCACTTCCACATTTTCAAAGTTTATCTTGCGCTTTCTTGTGACCTTTTCAGAAAGAGTTTTGCAAAATGTGGAAGTATCAGATTGGTCTGAGGAAAGCTGGAAATCAAAGAGTTGCTGGGAAAGGAGGAAGTATTCTAATAAGCCTCATTAGTGCTTTTTAATGTTAGAAGCTATAAGTATTAATCTGACCATTACTGACATTTCTACAAAATCTGGGGGAGGGAGGACTGTAACTGAATTCTAGGGAAGTTACGAAGCTTTAAACCAACRACTCTGCCATTTCAGCTTTTTGCATATCTGGACTGATCCCTAAGAACTCCATGTCTGCAGTATGCAAAGTGTATCTTTGTACAAAGTAAAACTCAAACAGAAAAAATGTTAAATCTCTATCATCACTACAAATACCTCACCTTTACATGCAAAGTTGCATATGTTTTCTACCACTGCACTCTTTCATGGATTTATCTTAAACACTTACAATTTGATTTTATAAGCCCCTGAACTATAAACAAGATGAAAATCTGTCTTCCATACAGGAAAACAGCACCCTTTCCACTAAGACATGATAGTGTCAAGAAAATCTTACATTAAAATTCTCTTTCACATTTTTTCTTCCTCCATTGTGAAAGCGAGCAAAGGTCAGAGAAAAATCCACCACTTATATCACTAGTCTAGGCAAAACAACAACAGAAACTTTGTATTCTGCTTTACCCAAATTTGCTGAGAGAACGAAGAGGAAGAAATCAGAATAAAAAACATTTTCCTCTGTGACTGTCCTATATGCAGAACAAGTTTCAGACATTAATGACATATGTTCTGAAGAACCTTCTAATCAATACAATCTCTTTTTCAACCCTGAATTTTGTTGGTTGTTGAGAAACAAAGGAGAACAGTAATTTTCAAATTCAGTATAAAGACATTTTCAATTGTTAAACCAACAGCTGGATGAGGAGAACAGGTGCTAAGGACAATAAATTACATGAGAGGACAAAAAGCTCTGGTACACAGAGAAAATTCAGTGCAYATGTCTGTAAGAATTTCTAAGGGTTATCATGATCAACTATTGGTATCAGGGTTCATGATCACTATTAAAAATTTAAAAACCCACACAAACAAAAAGAACAAACTAAATCAAAACAACAAACAAAACCCCAAAAACAACCAGGCAATATTGCTTTCCTCCATCTCAAGTCTTTGCTTTCACATGATATAGATACTAAATGTAACTATCAAATTGTAAGGCAAAGCTCAGAATTAGGAACACAGGATTTAAAGTCTAGTCTGAATCCTGCCCACTTGAGTAAGAAGTGTTTCTGAAGTGGCATAATGCATATAAAGTCAAAGACACAAAGAAAACACTACATTTGCTGAGAGCTTGTCAGCCAAAAGATAAGCAGAAATACAGCCTTTTGTACTCCATTACAAGCTGCTGCAGGTGAGAAGTATATTCTCTCCTCACAGCTTTTGCTATTATCAAAAAGTGTACAAATTACAACGAAAGACATACACCTGACCGTGTATTCATATGCATGAAGATTTCATGAAAAAGATAAAAAGATAAAAAGATAAACGAGAGGGCGATAATTGTAGCTGACAAAACAATGCTCCAGACTGCAAAAACCAAGCTGTATTTAAGGAAGCAAAACTTATTTTTGGCTTGCAGGGACATCTAGCGGCAAATGTCATGATTTGCATTCCGGGTAATAACTGAAAGAGACAAAAGAGATTTCATTACTTCATAAGAGCTCTTTCCTCTAAAACATGAAGAACAATTTATAATATTTAACCTCATATTCCTACAGGAAAAAATGTTCTTTTTTGTTTTGGGGTCTTTTCTCCACATCATAAAATAATTTCTGGCAGTAAACTCAATACTCAACATAATTTAGGGCTACAAATACTGTAAGCGTATTACCAACCAGAATCTCTTCTGTGCTAATGGCTTACAATACTTGTTCACAATCAGTGAACAGATCTTGAATAATCTTCAAAATTACACAAAGACGACACCCACAATTTGTGAGAAATATTGTAAAAGAACACTAGGTTCTTCCTTTCTCGGAGATGCGTTAAATAAGTAGAGACATAAAACATACTTTGAAGAAACTAAACCCACCATCATATCTAAACTTAATTCTACATATTCCTACATATTTGCCAAATTTTATCAAGCTGCCAAACTGCAAACTTGTATCAGCTGCTCCAAATTCATACTACAAAACCTTAACACCATTTTCCACAGATACACATATAAAAGTATTGATGCAGTCCTGAAACCTAGGAAATGCACACTCTGTAAGTAAAATGGCAATATTTATTGTAGAATAGCTAAGTGAAGTAAATCAATTGCATTTCCAAGAATCATCTTTTTTTTGCCTTTTAATTATTTTGTTTCCTACAAAGAAAAACATCACTGACTGAAGTACTTCACATCTCTCCTCTTTATAGCTGCACATAATGAAAGGGGCTTTTTTTCTTTTACAATATTTTTTCATCTATATTATTTTAACTATGTGTTTGCTACAAGTTCTTAAAATAGTGAGAATACTTGCATTTAGAGAAAAATATTATGACATCAATATAATTTTATTTCTTCATATTATTTTAGGGCATTTTGTTTACAACAGCAAGGCTTCCTTCTTGCTCAACTGGCACAACAAATTACATGGCTGCACCATGTAYTGGTAATTTCCGAGTGCCATACATAACTCACTTATGCCTCTCTTTTCCATACCACAGCCACACTTAAAACACTTAAAATTTGAATACTCTTTTAAACAGTTAGATGATACAATAAATACAATTTTGCAGCTACTGATGAAAAAAACTAACAGTGCTTAACCTTGTGCCATGTTTTACTCAAGCAGTAAAATTCTCAGTAAAATTGGTGAAAGTCAAAGAGCTTCATACAATGTATAGTCTAATTCCTTTGCTTGCTTCTGTCACAACTCCAGACCTCTTTATTTGCCCTTTTTTTCCTAAATGAATTAGCCAAGATCTTATGAAACCATGAACTATTTGCCTGAAAGGGAAAAATAATCAAAGGACAAGCTCATGATAGCGACACTTCAGACACCACCCCCTTCTCATCCTTGCTCAAGAGTCTACAGTAAGACCAGATAATGAACTAATGAAAAAGTGCAACTCAGCACAAGAGCTCACTGTCACCAGGAACGGGAGGTTCCACTCCTCATTTCTTTATCCCCATTCCTATGTTTGTCATTCATAGACCCTTCCATGAACTCTTTTTAACTCAAGAAGCGAACACACTCGAACAAGCAGAAGACACTCAATAGTTTTTCTGTGAGGTCAGTGAGTCACACCAGCTCATGGAAAAACCCAGCAAGCGACATCATCAGTGAAAGTGGACAGCTGGTACGGGCTGGGGGAAAGAAACAAAGAGCCAAGTACAGACAGGAGGAGGAGCAAGCCATTCTCTTTTCAGGAGGAGAGAGCTGGCACACCACGGAGCTCAGATGTTCACAAAATCACAGCCTTGGACTACGTACACAGATTTTAGACAGTTACAATTCAGTGAAACAAGCCCTATCTTAAATAACTACGCAACACAATCGTAAGAGATCAGACTTCCCATGAACATCGAGTGTGTAACAGAAAAAACACAAAGCCCCTTCTATATCATTTGAGAAATGTGACAGCACACCGCGTATTACTTTAACAATCCGTATTCTACTAATTCGTCATCAGCAACTTGCAACAGACAAAGCAATCACCTTAAAAAAATGTAGGGAGGCAAAACCAAAGAGAAACAGGAAAACCTCTGTTACAGCAAGTTCCATAGCCTAGGCACTGCTCAGATATTACTGTAGAGAATCCAGTGAAAATAAACACTTAAGACTTCTGTGCATCAAAGTGCAGAAATTTTGGAGAACTGTRTGACAGTGGCATTACTGACAGAAGACACCAAACTAATCAAAGCTACTACCACTYCCTCCACAATATTATTCAATACAGGTTTCAACAATAAAATATATTATTGCAGGGTCCATCCCTACACTTGGCACACGGTACCATCTTTTCAGTTTCTGTCTTGTCCTATAGATTCAGTTACTTATTAGATARGAAACAACAAATAAGGTTCTCTTTATAACTCAGGGTTAAAATCTGTGCTTTAGCCACATACACTACCAAGTCAAACTCACAGGACTTAATGATCGAACTAAATTTTGAATGGAAGCTAGAGCTGGTAAACTGAGCTATACTCAAGAGCAGCCAGTCTACACGTGCCATGTATGCTTTCCACTGTTTTTTTCATGGCAAGAAACCTTCAAACACACATAAACTTTTTCTCACTAAAATCTCAAAGTTCTACTGGGGCATACAAATGGTTGCTTTTTGCAAATATTTCTATAGTCCACAACCAAAACTCTTCTGAAAAATCAATTCCTTTCATATTAACTTAACAATCGAGATGTACAGGCAGGGCATAGGTTTCATGTCAGTATACATATCTCACATGTGCTGTAGGTGGAAGCATGATTTAATACACACCCTAAAGTGTGTGGACAAAAATCGAGTGAGAGGCCAAGTCATCCGCTTAATTCACCATGATCTTTTTACTTTTAATTTTTTTGATTTATAGACGTGGGAGCTCGATCAGAGGAATAACACGGCTGACAAACATCCAGAAGGATAGAAAAATAATCATTATCCTCACAGTGGCTGAGGATCGCTGGTGGAAAGCAAAGCTGACAAGCAAAAACACTTGAAAGACTGCAGCGAGTGGGCTCCTCCTGCCCTTGAACTGTGCCAGGCCATCCCGAACCCAGCAGACCACAGAGGCCGCAGCAGGCTGCTCCCGGCGCGCCCAACAGTGGGCACAGAGGAGCGCTGGGATCTCCCGTCCCGGAGAGACGCTCACCAGCGGCCCGGGTCRGGAGGGAGCGCCCGGAGCCCGAGCAGAGGCCATGGGGCCTCCCCGCCCGTTCGCAGCGAGGTGCAGCCCCACGCACGCATAAAGGCCTCGCAGCCCGGCTCTTCCCCACACCCCCTGTCCGCCGCACACCCCGGCTCTCCTTCATAGCCCGGTTCTCCTCGCATCCTGCCCCCTCTCCCCGCACTGCAATCGCCCCCCAGAATAGGGCCAAGCCTGCCAGCCGCCAGCCCGAGCGATTTAAAAATGGCGCCTCTCACCTCCCGCCGGCGGCACCGCCCGCCAGGGCCCGCGGCGCGCGGGGCACGCTGGGAGCGTTGCCAGGGAGACGCGCGAGCTCGGGAATGGCGGGCGGGGTGCGGGAGCGGCCGGGGCGCGGCCGTGCTGCGGGGCTGCTGCTACGAGCCGCTGAAATACTGTAAACACCATCTTCTCGGAAACATCCCCATTTTCCTTCTAAAATCTCTTTGAAGCAAGAGATTGAACGTCCTGATCGGTATTGTAATTCCTCTAATAAAGCTAACAGCGCTTTAATAAGGATTAAAATTGTTTTCAGTTAGTATATTAGAAGGTGGGTATTGGTGTCACACACATGCCTAAGGAAAAGATTAAAAAAAACCCTAAACCAACCCAACCCAAACGTTGCATTTGGCAGCAGTTTGATATTACAGCTGCAGTCAGTCCGCAGAGGTGGCTGCAAGCTAATGAAGTGTCTAAAACATCAGCGATCTTCACAGCTACAATGGCGGCGGTTTAAATGCTTCACTGCCAGCTTGACTGTGCAGACAAATGTCACTGTGCAGGTTTACATGTGTGTTGCACTTATTAGAAGTGAGATATCAAAGTATTCCATCTATAGCAATTTACACTTGTAGTGAAATAAAAAACACAAGACCCTACAATGAATTAAAATTTATTTTTTATAAATAAAAAATTAGGACAGATTTTGATAAAAAAAATACGAAAATGAAAAGCCATAGTTTTGAACTGCTTTATAACGCAAAAAAAAAAAAAAAATCTTTCTAGAAAGTATTATGAAGTTGCATTCTCGTTTTCTGTTATCCATTTTGCTCTTTTTTCTTTTCACAGTAAGCTTTACGAATATTAATGCTAACTAAGGTAAGGCAAGAAATCTTTCTCCCCTTTACAGCTGCATTAACAGGAATAGTAGAATGGTACCGAGAATTTCTTTGGATCTATTAGTGTCTGTTCATATCAGGATTACATATCTGTAAACTATTGGAAAACAATTCATTTACATGACAAACACGACACCACAAATCTAGATCACTCAGTGCGAGCTCTGTGGAGGCAGAGCAAAAAAACTACAAAACCTAAGATTATTTAGGTAACTAAAATCAATTATTTTGTAAGTATTTCACTGTGGAATCTTTTTCTAAGAGGATAACTCAAGATAGTGGAAATTGTGTTACTTTATTTTTGCCTCCATGTTTTTCACATTGATCAGAGAAGGGTACTTGTTTCCTTCCGACACCCACYGAGTCGGTAATTCTAGTTACTGATGGCCAGCATTTCTGAAGTGTGGGTGGAAATGCTGCTCTTCTTTGTCACAGKGACCATCCTATCCCTGCTCACTTTAAAAGGAAAGCTGCTGTAGTAACTCAGATGGGTTTGACATGGGAATCTTGCAGAGTACCAGCAAARAGAGAAAAAACAAGAATCAAGATGGAATTCAAGGGCACAAGAAGGAAATGACTGAAGGAAGGAAGAAGGGGCTTGTTGGAACCAAAGTGGAGCTTATGCCCACAGCAAAGACAGAGAGGTCCATCAAGAGGCAGAAACAGCTAGAAAATTAAGACTATAAATATTACAAGACAAATAAGGGGGGGGGAGGGGTGCAGGGAATGAGGGAGAAGTAAATATGAAACCATCTCTTTGGGGAGAGAGGGGAACTATATACTGGGGTTGGTTTGTTTGCTTTTTCTTCTCTTGTAAYTCAGTACCTATACTGGGGTTGGTTTGTTTGCTTTCTCTTCTCTTGTAACTCAGTACCTACAGGAAAAATGTATAACACCTTTATAAAAAAAAGGATTATTCCAACAGTGGTAAACTCCCCTGAAACATGTCCCACAAAATGGGCAGGTTTCCTTGTAAAAAATAGATAGATAGAGGGATAGATCCCTCAGATATGTAGTTACAAATCTCAGCAGTTTATTAAAAAAAAGTAATGTCTCTAAGGTACACTATAAATTCACTGTGGCTTGAGTAAAAGTAAAGAGATTTCATTCAGAGATCTTAGAGTTTTTGATCAASAGTATTAGAGACTGTGACTCTTTAAATGTCATACTATATTAGTTCTGGGTAGATAAACATTTCACAGAACAACAAGGTTCATCCTCACACAAAGAAAGCAATTTATAAAGAGCTCCAAARTATGTAGAGAAGTCCAGAAAATATTTCGCTACATTTTGCACATACACCTTTTTGAAGAAGATATTGTGTAAGTATGGTCAGAAAAAGTCTTGAATTTGAAAGCTCATTTAGACTTCTTTGCTACCTCAGTTGAGCAAGCTGAAAATAGTTGCTAGATTAGATAAATCCTCAAGCTCCTGTAGCCCAGTGGCTTACCTTTAGAGAAGGTTTTGTTGTTATGWACACATGCTGCTGCTCGTACCTGTTGTTTAATCCATGCTTAGTCTCTGTCACCTTGACCTGAATCCAACTGGGCAGGATAGAGGCCAAGTCAGGAATTAGAGTTGGGAGTACAAGTTCTGTTCAGCATCTGAGTCAGCAGATCTTGAAAGCATCCAAATAGTTTCACTGTCCCATACAATTGTGGCAGACATGTCTGTGACTAAGTAGTGTGCTATTTGTGGTATTGACTTAAAACCATACATTGTGGGTAGATTGCCTGAGAAAATTAATATTTTTGGCATTACAAAATCAAAAGACAGAATTCCTTTTAAGTGCCATAGTGCTATGTTAAGAGTCTTGCCCAGTTAAACTCAGAGGGGTTTTTACCATTAGGCTCAATAAGACCAGAACAAAAATTTTAGCACAGAGGGCATCAGAGGATATAAAGCCAGGGGCAGCTCATTGAGCTATTGCTCAGACAAATATATTGTATGGGACTGCTGACCACACAGACATGGTGTTCTCTACTTTTCTCCTCAGTCTGTACATACAGTATCTCATGCTGATCTTCTGTGTCTTTATCGCCAAGTGTCTGTGACTAGAGAAGAAAAGGATGTTTTCCTGACCAGTACCAACTCATTAAAATGGTGTTCAGCAGAAAAATATGAAGGGAATTTATTAGGCTACAAGAGTTTTTCCCATGTAGGTATATTGTTTGCATATATTACAGGCTTCAGTCCTGACTGTGCTTTCATTTCCATTAGATTGATTCCATTCTAACCACACTAACTGTAGAGTTTTTCCAAATTTACACATACAGGTGGGTAGAACCACACACCCAACAAATGAAGGGATCGTGACTACATGAAATGCAAGCTCAGTTCCTAAAGTTTCTGTCAAAAGCATGTCAGTGAGCTCAGCACTGGTAAGCTTCAAGCTTGTCCTGAGGTAGGGTATAATAGAATTATAGAATATGCTGACTTGGAAGAGAGTCATCAGGATTATCAAGTCTTACTCCTGCCCCTGCACAGGACACACCTGGAGTCATACCATGTGCCTGAGAGTGTTGTCCAAATGCTTCTTGAACTCTGTCAGGCTTGATGCTGTGACCACTTCCCTGGGGAGCCTGTTCCAGTGTCCAACCACCCTTGGGGTGAAAAACATTTTCCTGATATCTAACCTAAACCTCTCCTGACTCGTTTCATGCCATTTCCTCMAATCCTGTAGCTGGTCATGAGAGTGAAGACATCCCTTCATGAGGAAATTGCAGACTGCAGTGAGGTCTCCCCTCAGTGTCTCTTCTCCAGGCTGAACAGGTGACCTCAGCCACCCCTCATAAGGTTGCCGTTCTAGGCTCTTCACTGTCGTTGTTGCCCTCCTTTGGATGTTCTCTAATAGTTTAATGTCTGTTTTATATTTTGGCACCGAAAACTGCCCCCAGCACTCRAGGTGAGGCTGCCCCAAGTCAGAGCAGAGCGGCACAATCCCCTCCCTTGCCCGGCTGACAATGCTGTGCCTGATGTACCCCAGGACAGGGTTGCCCGCCTGGCTGCCAGGGCGCAATGACTCAGGTTCAACTTGCCATCCACCAGGACCCCCAGCTCCCCTTCCACAGTGCTGCTTCTCATTCCCCTGTCTATGCACACACCCAGGATTTTCCCAAGTGCAGAATCTCACACCACGTTGGTTGGTGATTGTCCATCTCTAATTTGTCAACATCTCCCTGTAAGGCCTCTCTGCCCYCAAGGGAGTCAACAGCTCCTCCCAATTATTGTCATTGGCAAACATATTCAGTATTCCTTTGAGTCTTGCATCCAAGTCGTTAATTAAGAAGTTGAAGAGAACTGGGTGGAGGATGGAGTCCTGCAGAACCCCATGAGTGACTGACACCAGCCTGGCGAGCAGTTCAGCCTCTCCACTTTACTTCTGTCTGAATCTGGCAGGCTACACATAAAAGGTGACATAGCATCGATCCACTGGCAACTTCACAAATGAATGAGTTTTCACCTAAGTCACAGTCCAAACAGGAATTGAGGATACAGCATAGAAATKTCTCCTTTCAATTACATCAACACAGTGCCGGTTACCAGGGGAGGCAGAACCTGCTGCGTGACTGCTGCACCTTTCACAGCAGCACAAGTAGAGAAATATGTACATTCAGGAAGAATTTATCACTAAGTTTATAAACTGCTCTGCTAGCACTGCCTCAATGAGCTAGTTMAAAGGAGTTCTGGGTGTTGCAAAATGAGTTGCAGTGAGATAGCAGGTGAAGTTTTGGGCGCCTTCATCTAGTTTCTGGCACAGTCACGGCTTTGGTTCTCAGAGCTATTTGGGGCACCTACACAAAGTATTTTCAGATTACACTGCTGGTAAGGGTTATTTGTYGCATGCAGTGATTGCTAACACTGCACAGTGGCCGTTTCTAACAGCACTATTGTATTTTACTCTCTGCCTTTCTCATTTTGGGTGTTAAAACCGTTACCAGGGTGTGTTATGCACTCTCCAAAGCCAGAGTTTTGAACAACTGAGAGAACTGATGATGAGTGAGGTGCATTTCTTTATGTCTGGTTTGCTTGGTTAGCAGGGATTATTCAGCTCCCAGCAGATATGGGCAAAATGATTAGTAGTTGTGGGAGAATCTGCTGTTTGTGAATGGAGGTAGTCCGAATATAGAACAAGTTCCAGGAACCCATGTGACACTCAGCATGACAAGACCCTGGAAAGT